ACATGTTCTAATTATTATTAGCTCATCATCAAGTTCAAAGTGTTCACCAAGAGACCAAGCTTTATATGATCTACAGGCACAATACAAGCAGATAGGCGCTTAGTGGTATATTTACAGAAAACATTTTAAGAGCCTACCTCCGGTGGAAATCAGCGAGAACTAGGAGCCTAATCTTTTGAAAACTTCACAAGGCACTTTTCTGCATCTTCAAGTACCTGAAAGAGTCCATTTGGGGCCCAATGCTTGCCTCTATTTTTACAATTAATTTGGAGGGTGGAATAGAGAATGAAAGAATCAAACATGCAGAGAACTGATTCTTGGAGAAAATCTCGGAATAGTAATTAAAAATATATCACGCAAGCTTTATCAATCAAAAATTATTTCAAACAGTAAAATAATTAGTAAATATTAATATGACATCTAGTAAAACATCAGTAAAACATGGTATAAACAGGAGAGGGCAGTATAATGAGGAAACTAAAGATGACAGATATTCAGACTCAGTAGGAGTAGGTGGATCAGCAAAGGAACAAGAAGTTATAGCAACAGGCCTATTAAATATGAGCTCATACGGTGGACATAGGTGAAAACTCTGCCACTGAAACATGAAAGCGTAGCACTGGAGATGAGTGTCCTGCATTGCAAATGGGTTTACTAAATAAGCTAAAAGATCAGCCATCTCTGTATCTCTCTTAGATATCTAACAGAGCAACTGGCACAAATCCAAGTTCTATAGGTAAATATAAGTGACACGTAAATGTATCAGTCATTTATCTTTCTTCTGAGCTGCTTCATACTCAGAACCGCACCTTCTACTTAGTTTTGGCTTTGAAGATCTTTCAGTGAAAAGAAACAAGTTTATTAAAAGATCTGTAGAAAAAATGGCTGAAAGAAGCCACACTAACTGTTTTCAGACATAGCAAGGAGATAGCAGAGAAAACTCACTTTAAGTATCTAGAGAAACCTGAAACTAAAATGTTTTTGACAAAAGAACCAGCTTCGACAAAAGATTGTAGGGATCTGTGTCTCTAGATATATGTAAGGTTGCATTAGTCACTGATCCAGCAGAGATCATAAGAAGGTTTCAGTCAATTCTCATTTTTGGACAAGGGATGGATGTGAATGCATATCGCAGCCTCGGAGGAACTATAAAGATTATCATACAAACATAAGTTGTTACTCTACAATTATAGTATGTACAGAAATAAAACTAAAAGGAGACAAGGATATAAAGGTAAAAGGAACAAAAGAGAAAGAAGCAACATCTTTTAGAGACGGGTAGGGAAATTTTCCACAGATAGAGTGAGAGAAAACAAAGGTGGAAGTAATTATGTGTGTCCGTAAGTCACAGTAGGGAAATGAAATGAAAGCAGGCAAGGGAGAAAATGAGAAGAATGAAAGCAGGCAAATGAGGATGGCAGCAGGAAAGTTGGTAACTTCTGGAGATTCAGCACAAACTAAGTAGCATAGCTGAAGGAAGTAGACATCCAGAGTCATGAAGATTAGTGCTACAACTGACTGCAACTTTTAAACCAGAAAACAAATTTCCAGGTAGAACTTCAGATATACTCCCCATCCCCCCCCCCCCAAAAGAAAACACATAACACTCAATATGAAAATAGTAAAATGATTTTCTAAGACTAAAAGACTTGGCGGAATGATGGTTCCCCAGTATATCATTTGGCAACCACACAAAATCAATTCTTGTTGCATATGTAGGTATGTAACATTCATTCATGCTCTTCCTCCTTTAAAATCCTGTGCCCAGTTTATCTCGAACAGCTGTGGCAGAGTATCTTCAACATCTCTGGACTGACACCACAGATCTTGCTTTGTTCCTCAAGCCTGCTTTTCACTGTCCATTCAAGCATCTGCTCTGTCTTTTACCCAAGTATTCAGGCTACATTTGGGTCTGCTATGATACAGCAGCTGATCATTCTGCTGTGGTACCATTTCCTGCCTATACCCATCTCACACCAGGTATTTCTGCCACTTCTATTATCCAAGCTTTTTTTCTTAAGACTGGTCAAGGCACAACACTGTCCAGTGCAGGTGGTGAAAATCTGGCCAACTAGTTCACCACTTGCCATTTTAATAAAATAAAGAATGTCATGATTATGTTAGCAGCTTTGAATGACCAGATATTTCATTCTGAACTTCTGATACAGTAAATATTCAGTAAAATTAACTGAAGTTTAATTCCACAAAGCAAGCAAACAACTAAACAGAGGTTCCACCTTTTCTTAAGAACATCAGATGACACAAAAAAAAATTTGAGAGCTTTGAAAAGATCCCTCAGTACAGAGGTTCCAAATTTCCAGTCAGCTTTAATACTGAGATATGTGTTCATTTTTGTGTCTAGCTGAATGCTTCTTCCAACAACAGTAGGCCATTTCAGAAGTAACACTGCAGTCTTACATACAAAGGGCAATGTTAGCTGGATGCAGTTCTTGCATCATTTTACTGATACAGACTAGGTGTTCCACAAAATCTTTCCATTCCTGGAGAAACTTAGTGATATACACTTACTTCCTACAAATACAAACACACAAGTATGCAAAAATGTGCATTTTTGTGGTCATACACTGAAATACCAAAAATAATTTGATTTAGATGCGCTTATACCTTCTTCTTGGTGAGCACATTCCAAATTCAAATATCAGAACACAGACAAAAAAAAGCAACCTGGAGGAAAGTTAAAGAATACAGAGAAAAAGTAATGACTGCCCATTATGGTAATTACTCATATCAATAACGTGACTGAAGGAATAATGTTCTCCCAAACAGGAAGCAAATTAATTATTTATTGCCTGTATGTTTCCACATAAAACTAACATATCTATCCAAAACATCTCTCCATGGAGAACTGCAAACTGAATCTAAACTATCACGATCACACAGAGATTTATCTATAAACATATTTAGCAGATTATTTCAAAGAAAAAAAATTGATTAAGGAAATCATTTATTGGTGCAGTGATCACCCAAGCAGGAAAGAAGTCTCAAATTGACAAGCCAATTACTCACATTGAATTATATGTAACAGTTCTACAGAAAGTAAGCAAACAAAGTATTCCATTTCAGGATGATGGTACTGCAATTGCAACAGTTCTTCTGCTGGACAATCAGGTAAGGGTTCTGCTAACACATAACCCTATTCTCAGCTATCTACAGTGGAAAATGAAGTAGTTACTGTACAAAATCTGGATTCTAGAATTCCTTATGACTCACCCTCTGACTACACGTTTCTTAAAAATGAAAAGCATCAGCCAAACGAAATAGGAAAGTTTAAACTTCCAAAACCAAGAAAATTTATGCTTCAAAACGTAAGCCAAGGCAAAATTCCGTCAGTACAATGATGTACCAAAACAGAGACTTCAGCTCAGATTTCTGCCGCCTGCTTTGGAATCTTAGATTTTTATCTACTTAGTGCAAATCACTACTGCGCATGTTGTGAGTTCTCTCCAAAAGCAGAACAAGATCAGACAGTAAAGAGACATTACGCTTGGAACAACTGCACTATTGACAAGTGTCCTTGGATTTAGAGGGATTTTCCAGAAAAGTGGTGAAGATAGTTCTGTACACCAGCAGAAGAAAGCTGTGGAAATCAACAAGATACAGAGTGGCCTCCTAGATAATCCTTTGGAGACAGAGTGTAGTTCTTCCAACAAGCAAGAGCAGCTATTTAACTACAGTAGAAATCTCTCAGCCCTTCAAACTGTAAAGAGCTCTTCTTCTTCAGTTCAGACACTTGCATTTATGTGAAAGTCTCTCCCCTTCTACTCATTCCCAGTAGCTCTAAGAATATTCACCTTGCTGAAGCAATATACCCAACATGTTCATCACTGTACTATGCAGTCACTTGGTCTCACTATGAAAGATTATTTGACCACATGGAATATAGTTTTCATTTTCAATGCATGCCCATGTTTCTTCATATTTTTAAAATAAGCAGAAAACATTCAGAGACTGACATAGTAGTGGTAAGTCTTTTAAGGTCAGTATCACTGCAAGGTAGTTAAACAGTAGAGATAGGGGCGTTCTAATTTTCCTCAAAACCATCAATCACTTTTAGGTCAAAAAAGTTAAGACTTCCTGTTATTCTCCTACTTCTATTAATTTTTGTTATGCTGCCGTTGCCTTGTATGATAGAAGGCACTCTAGTACAAATTTTTACTGCACATACGCTCTTATCAAGCCTTAAGATGAGAAATCTTGAAAGCACATGGGTAAGGCAAGTGCCCCTCGCACAAATTACATAGTGAAGCAAAAAAGAATGTAACAAGAAGAAAGGCACCATGGCCCAGATAATAAAAAAATATATATTGTGTACCAAATATTGGGCTCCTTCTTCATATATAGGACTCTATTATCTTTTTAAGTTTGGGCAATGCCTTAATTCACCTGCAGTCCCATTGAAAGACATCAAACAGCATGGTTATATTGAAAGGGAATATGTATCAAATCAGAGCATTCTAATTCTGTTTCTTTCTTAGGAGGGCTCAACTCCTGATGATGCCACTGGAGTCTTTTCTAAATAAGGGATGCAAATAAGACCTTCAAAATTTAGCCCAGTGAGATTTCCAAAGGAGTGAAGGGAATCACCAAGTATGTAAAGCGATACAGGGGTGAAATACCTTTGTCAGAGATTTTTGGGTTATGCTTTTGTTTGTAACTATCTGGAACAGAGAAAGAAATAGAGGGTGAATCTTACACAGGGGGAAGGAAAAAAGCCTAGAAGTCAGAAAAAGAGAAGGAGAAAGAGAAAGAAAATAGAAGAGATGATTTATTATAGCACAAAGGGAAGTGGATTCTTGCTGAGGACTTTATTTCCTTCGTGCAAAAAAAAACCACACTAAGAGCAGCAGCAGTAGCTGGTGGCAAACATGCAAGTCAGAGAGCAGCAGAATACTTTGCTGGAAAAGAAAAGATGAACCCAGAGTGCACCAAGCTGGCAGGACCAGGCTGGAAGCGGAGTCAGCTGTCTAGGTGCTACTTACTGTCACAAACATAGGGTTTGTCATGATCATCCTGGGAGGCAGCATCATTTCGTCTCCTGCCACCTCCAGATCCCCGAGCCTGCAAGAACAAGAGGAATGTTAACATTATTCTCCTGCCCCTCAATTCTCCTGGTGCCCCTCACCCTCCTATAAAAAATGTGCAGCATAAACTAAACAAACCCTCAGCTTCCATAAAGGTTTATCAAGGGTGGGTTTGACCCTTCCACTCCTAAGATATGCACTATGTTAATAGACCTTGTAATGCAGCAGAGATCCTCTCCACAGATAACCCAAACTGTTCATCCTTAGCAGCAGGTCACTGTCAGAACGTATTCAGATAAGTATTGTTACGCTTCCATTTTTTAAAAAGTTCAAATACTTTTCTTACTGAATATGAATTTATGAATAGATGAACTGGTGGTAAAGGATAAACATAACTTTCAAACTAACCAGAAAACAGGCCTCAAATAAAGCAGAGGTAAAATTACCTCCTTTAATATTTTCAGAGGTGGTGAGGAGTTGCTTTGCTTGGTTTCCTAGCTGTAAAACACTGTTTCGAAAGGGTCTTCTAACTGGCACAAAGATACTGTCGCTAACTATAACACTGAGTCAGCTAGTGGAAAAGATTAGGTAAATGGCTACCTGCAAGAGCAAAGAATTGGAATTACCCAGAAAGGTCTCTTTGCAGTTCTGTGTTCCTAAAACATAGCCAGTTGACAGCCCTGGAAACTGAAAACCTTGGTTTCTCCACAGCACACACTGTTCTGTCCTGAGCTCTAGGGTTAAGAATGAAATCCAGCACCAAAGCCACTTCTTCCTAACCCTTCTCAGCTGAGATGCCAACAAGGGGACGGTTCATATCTGGTCAAAGGGAATAGTTTTGATGTGCAACTGGAAACTGAGACAAGGCCTTAAATTGTTTAACGTTAATGTTCTGTCTGCAGATAACAATAATTTAAGACTTGATCTTTGTGTGAAGAAGTGATCTGCAGGTGGATGGCTAGGTTGTAAACTATGAAATACTGTCAGCCAATCTGTTCCTAGTTAAAAGCAACAAAATGGTTTTTGCTGCTCCTCTTACTAAATTGTTGATGTCTCTCATCCTAGACAAGGCCAGCTGACTCAAATCCTTCAAGCTTTTGCATGTGAAAACAAGAAAGCTTCATCAAGTAAAGCCAGAGAAGACGTAGAAATCCTGAGAATATTTGTTCCCTAGATCCTAAGCAGTCATGTAATCACTGTCCTTCTTCTATGGATTTGAGACTGAACTTGCACTGTCTGAGAAGCACAAAGGAAGTTTTACAGTAGCCTTGCCACAGTCTATCAAAACAGGGATTTAGAAAAACGTCACATATTATTTCCTTGGGATTTCTCAGGTCTCTTTACACAGTCCTGAAGGAAAGACGTGGATTCGCAGGTCTCTGGATGGGGTATGTACTATTAGGCATGACAAGTATAGCTCTGCCTTCTGCAAGGAACTCTGTGCAGATCAACACACGTGCAAAGTGAGATTTGTAAGGGTGAACTGAAAAGCAGTTTTGCCCTGGAAAAGGACTCAAACAACATTGTTTGGTGGAAGCTACTTCACTGACCATATCACATTAAAAATCAGTTTACTAGCCTACAATATTTTTCTCTTTGACTGTCAGCTTTGTAAATCCCCTCTGGGCTACGAAATCAATCCAAGGCAAGTTTCTTTCTTCAATCACTACTACAAAATGTGCTGCAAGCTGAATTTAGGTCTCTGGCAGCTCCTGTACAACCCTCAGCTCATCAGAGAGCCTTCAAAGACACATCTGATTGTCTCTTAATAAATATTTCTTTTGGTACCTGGATTAGGATCCAATTTCCCTATCCTACCAGGCTGCATTGGCTTTTCAGGGCTGTGAATAAACTGTAAAGCCTGTTCTGTTGTTGTTGTTATTAGTCAGTAGTTTTGATTCTACATGCTGAGAATAGGTCTGTTGAGTAAAGACATTTCATTTTTACATTGACACCTTTCAGAATAGGATGACAATTTAACGTTTGTTGCTCCGAGTTTCACTAGTCCTGCAGCCAGCCATTCCCCTTCCAACAGTTCTCCGCAGAAATGTAAGGGTACAGCATTCATGTCATGACTGCATGTCAGGTGTACTTTTTCATGCACTGTACACATAGGGAGATTTTTCAAGTCAATGATTTTCACTGGGAGCTTGATTCCTAAACACATTCAGTGTCTTTGAAAAAGTTCTAGGGGTATTCAGCTGAGGAGCTTGCAGTCTCTATAGGTGCAGTTGCATTCCTCTCCTGTCTCCTTGCAAAATGTCCTTCCTAGCTCCTACAACATTTTTCCTGTCTATCACAGATACTAAAAAGCTCCTTCTGAAAATCCATTCCTTCAGTCTTCAGTGTCCTTCCTAGCAGTCCTGTGATGTCAGGGCCAGTTTTGAGGGGGTAGCAAACTTAGCAGCTGCACCAGAAGCTCTCAACTGAGTGCCACGTGCTTGCTGTGAGCACTCTGGTCTGTTGAATTCAGTCACCCATGATTGCCTTCATCTTTCTGACAGGATAGAGCACAAGTGATGAGACATGTGAGGCCTGGGAGCCATGGCAGAGCAGCCTTGAAGCAGTCCTCAAGCAGCCGGAGAAGGTAGCCAGAGGGACAGATGGAGGAATAAAGGATTAAAAATAAAATCATGCTGTAGGAAAAGGAAGGGCCAATGGAATGTCCAAAGCAGTAGATCTGCCGTATTAACCCTTTATCAATGCTGCCAGCCCTCACTCCTTCTCTGAATTCCCAAAGGCCACACTCTGCAGGATCTAGTTTCCTACAGACATCCTTCCCCTCTTCTATTCTCTAAAAATACCCTGACCGCCTCCTTCCCAGAAACAAAGTGCTGACCAAGTTTCATACCCCCTAATTTCAAATCCTCGGTGCCGATTCCCTACACTGGGTCAGGCTAACATTTGAAAAGGGTTGCTTGAAAAGTAACAGAATAGTCGTGAACAGATGTAATCCAGGCTTCAGTTCAGGCTTACCAGTTTTCAACAGCTAGGAATCTGGTCCTAATTTTGAAATCCTAATTCATACCACATTTTACTTTGGCTATTGATGCCATCAAATAAAAACAAAAATTGCTCAAAATATTTGGCACTCTTCAAACTCCTCTTTTTTTGCACCAAGTGAAGCCAGGGCACTAGCAGAGCAGGAGTTAGCAACAGAAAAGACAGGAGATTCTGCTGTTCTTGTTCCTAATAGGGAGCCAGTTCCAGGGCAGAAATAAATTGTACATGTATGCTTTAAAATGAATAGGACACTTACTCTCCAACTCCTTTCTCTAATGCAGGAGAAAGAAAGTAACAGATATTCTCAATCAATTTCCTGAACAGGGGAGTAGAACTTTGCACATAATAACTTCAGAACTGTGTTTGTGTAGGCCTGAAATATGCATACAGTTAACTCCCTTCTCTGGAGTAGGCTTTTATAGCTGTTTGCTCCCCTTCACTTACCCTAATCCGCATGCGCAATTTATGTGAGAGCAGCTTATTAGAAAATACTTGTTAGCCTCGAATACTTGTTGATAGCTACAGTCAAGCTTGTGTGCGTTATCAATTCTAACTCCTCATTTGGGTTACTGGTTCATACAAATTTTCTGAAACTTACATTTTTCTGGAAAATTTTTTTCCAGGTGGGGGTCTTTGGCTAAGAAAGAAAGAAAGAAAGAAACTGGTTCAGGTGATTTTGAGAATAAGGAAGGTGAAATATATACTTATCCAGTTAATAAAGTGCTTTGATCTTATATTAAAGAATTTAAGCTCCAAAATAAAGAGGAGCAGAAAACTGAAACAATACAACAACAGAAGAAACCAAAAGAGAGGGTTTGATGCATAAGCACATTGTAAGTATTCAGTGTGGTTTCATGTCCCTCTCTTACTCAAAAGCTATTATATCCTGCTTATTTGGTCTAAAATGTGGCCCTTCTTGCTTGACTTCTGCAAACACATCAAAAGGTACTTCTAGAGCTCCTGTGCCCCTGCAGCATCTAATGGAACCAAGGAGAGATGAAAATGCTTGAAACTTCTGAGAATTATGTTCATTTTATTCAGATGCCTAGCTTCAGGGGCCACAATTAAAAATGCTGATTCCAAGTTTTAAAACATTAGCTTTATTACTTAACTGGCGCCCTGCTGAAATTGTGAAAAGATGTCTTAGGTAAGAGAAGGGACGCAGACTCCCCTAAGGATAATATTGCCCATTTTAAGCAAATGGAAGATTTGCCAAAGGGTTCAAGAGGGCCAAAATGTCAACCACAAAGCACTACCTTGGAGAAAGCTTCAAAACATATGAATGCAGTTCAAGTTACTTTTATTAATAGGTTGGGTTTTTTTTTGGTGTCACGATTGAATGTATCAATTTTTTTTTCATTAGTAAATGCTGTTTTAGAATAAGAGCATTGTAATAGCAGGATGTCAACATAATAATTATAGTAACATATTTATAATTTTTATGTATAAGTAATTCATCCCAAGTTTTTACTCTTAGTGTAGTCTCTTCACATTATAATTTGCAAAAAGTAAAGTAAAAAAAATATCTGACTGTATCACTGAAAATTACCTACATGCATATACAACACATGTTAAAAATATACACCAGAAAGCAGAAGCTTGCTTCCTTCCTTTCTGTTTGATTGCACCTACCCGTCCTCTTGGCCTGTTCTTTCGTTTTGGAATATCTTCTTCCAAATCCTCTTCTTCATTCACTTCATCTGCGTTTTCATCGTTTTCTAAAACCCTCTGTGGTTGAACAATAAATAGGAACGGTTAGAAGAAAAGATGGCACATACAAACAACTACTGCTCTTTACCATAGAGACTGCAGGTTATTAAATTACACTTGATTAATGATATAATGCTAAATAAGATTCCAGAATCCGTATTTCTTTCTGCTAAAGCAAAATCTGCTTTCCCTTTCACCCTTAGTTCTTCAAGGAGTTCTTATTAAAAAACGCTACTGGTATCAGTCAAGGAAGGAAAAGAAGGGTTATGCAACATATGAATACTGAAGAAGTGCAGGCCTCATTGAAGCTGATGAGAACAATAGTTACTTCAATTAATTATTTAATAGGAATAATAATGAAAACTACAATAGCAATTCATCATCTCACATAACAGTGTCAGGGAATTTCAACTTGACCTTTTGAAACACAACCTCAACAGAATGAAATCCAGGACAAAACATGTACAAACTGGACACAGCACAGATGATGGCAAGATAAACCATCACAACACTAATGTGGAAAGCTGCTGGGATCCCCCTCAATCTCTGGCATCCCTGTTGCAAATAAAGATAGGAGCTGGAGGTACTCTTGCCATTCATTATGTGGGTACTATGACATCATTCACCTAAACTACAACGTTTTCAGATTCAAATACATGACTTTAAACTGATGGGACAGCTTTTCTTTAACCTTTTACTATTTTTGTCACTTCCACATAATTTCTAGTTAAGAGCTGTTTGAGAGCCAACATAGGGAGAGCGTAGAAGCAAATCACAGTGGATTTGTTTTCTTCCTACACATCTCAAGCACTGAATTGTGAATTTGGGGGAAAGACTATAAGAGAAACTTAAAGAAAAAGCCTGTGCTTGGAAGTCCGGCTGTACAACTTTATACTTATTTTATCAGCTAGATTTTTAAGACTGTTATAGGACAGTGCCTTTTTTTAAATGACAAATAGTTCTTTGAACACAGTAGAGGATCAACTCTTCATCTGGTTTCTTCTTTTACTTCTAAATCTCAGGAAGCTATTAATAAGATTAGATCATCATGAAATCTAACTTCCCATAGTACTTGACTGCTAAACATTAGAAGGTGGAAAAGCTGAACAAGATCCAGTTCTATATATATAAAATATTTCTTTAAAATTCACGCAATTACATATAACTTGGTCTTAGTTAACTACAGCACTTGGAAAATGTTGTGCATGAAAAGGCTAGTGCTATGTAAGAAAATATGCAAACTTACTGATATGAATCTATATTTTCACTGCGCTTCATGTCTCAAATTATCTCAAAAACAAAAAAAGAGAAGGCTGACACTATATTGTATATGGGGCAAGAAGGAGCTAGCTTATACTAATAACACTACACAAGTGAAGAGGAATGCTACAAACCACTTTCTTCATTTCAAATTCCAGTATCAATTTAAGACATGGAGAGTAAGTAACCATGTGCAAATTTGATGACACTGCCAGGATAATCACTTGAATTCCCAGCAGAAAGGGTTTAGCCTTTCTGACACATGGTTAAAAGGTTATTCTAAGTCTTCTCCAGTAAATGATACAGACTCACATTCAATACTAATTCATGGCAGGACAAAATCCTCCACTCTGTAATGTACCAGCTGTACATAAGACGCTTCCTCTTTGATGGTGTTCCTTTATCTGTGCTACTGGGAGACCTAATTTTGCTGCCATTACATGTTCAGTTGAACACTGGCAAATAGATCGGTAGGACTGATCTCTAAATAATATATATTTGAAGCCTGCACATTTCTGTTTTATTTGGCATGGGTCTGCCTACTCTAATTTTTACTAGTTTTATGTATAGATGCAACATCTTGTATCTCAGCCAAAATGATCAAGATAGACATATTTCTAATGATTCTCCCTAAACATCACTAGTAGAGATTCATAGTGCAATGGTGTTTTACCATCACCAAATATTTGCTGCTGTTCCCATAGGAGAAGCCTGCTTTCCTAGCAATTTAAAATGCCTATGTGAAGGAAGAGACCCTTACGAACCCTTTACGTTTCCTTCTGTGACAGACCAACAAATGTGTTTCTACTTTTTTATATTGTTAAAGGATGAAATGGAATCTTGACAAATCTGATCATAATGCAATCATAATGCATGTAAAGAGGCAATGTTTTTCATTGCTAATAATAACTGAGATAATTAACATTAGAATGTATTTAATTATTTGTTTTTTGGGGTTTTTTTGTTTTGTTTTGTTTTTTAAAGAGTCAACTGCTGCAAGTACAACTTCAAACCAATGTTAAAAACTCATTCTAAATCTGAGACACTAAAATTTGATTTACGGTTGGGACCCATCTCCACCTGTTCATTCTTTATGCAATTGTCTCCTACTGTTGTAAATTGCAACACATAAGCTGAGCAGAACACAGCCAAGTGACTGAGATGTCTGTGACAGAAGAAGAGAGTGAGATCCTCAGTTCATTTTGAGCATCACAGTGTAGCACAATGGTTTTATAACATTTTGACAGTAGAATGACACAACTATCAACAGATGAACTATTCTGCAAGAGAACAAAATCTGCTATGCTTAGAGACAAATCATAAAAATCAGCACTGCTGTCAGTGCAGAAGTATCTCCTTTACCTGGATTTCTTGTATAGGGTCTTCCTCTTTAGTGTCCATCTTTTTCTCTATTCCCTCTCCACGCAGCAAGGCTTCCAGTGTTGTACTTTCTGATGTGAAGCCATCTTTTTTCAGAGGCAGATCAACTTCTGAAAAACAAAAAAGACCAACTTCATGTATCTCCCCAAGCAGCTCACAAGTAGAAGGACAGAGCCAACAAGAAAACTAACAAACCCTCCAGCTTGCTTCTATCTTGAAGGAAAGTTCTCCAGATCTCTAAGGATTCCCTTAAAGGATTTGTTTCTATCTTGCTGAAAATCTGATATTTTTTTGAAGAGCTGCGTTTGCTTACAGGACAAGAGGGCCAGACATAATACATCAAGAGGAAATAAAAGGAGGGAAAAAAATTCTCTTTCCTAATGTAAACTTCCTATGTTTCAATTGAAGAACAAAACCAAGTCTTTCCAAGACACTGAAATAACAAATACGAAGATCTGATCTTTTGAAGTGAAGAAATAGTTCCATGCAATTTAGCTTCTGGCAGAGTTGATACGGAACATCTACAAGCAGCATTTTCTTACAGAAGGGCTCGTTCCCCACACAGGGAAGTGGAATATGTGGGGCCAATTCAAAAACAAACAAAACAACCAAAAGGAATTTTTGCCTTGAATCTTCATTGAATATTGACTCCCATTTTTCACTAGATAAAATCTTCAGTTTGTTCTAAATGGGACTGTACAAAGAAGAACCACCAGCAAACAGTTACAAGCACAGAATCTAGTTCATGGAGCTGGATGAACCTCAGCCACGGCATTAAGAACTGATGGGTGGCTCAGGGGCACGCCTGAGGCATGGGACTTCAAATGATAAAAAGGGTTCATGAGGAAGCTTGATGCAACTTGCCATGCAAGTGAAGGTACAGAGCATAAATCCCCTTCAAAATTCTGTCACTAGATTATGAGACAGTGCAGCAGACAGGCAAATATAGCATATTAATTTTAGCAAGATGTTAAAATACGCCCAGGAAAGAGTTACATTTTCCTTGCAGATCTTGGCCTCTACCCTACTTGTGTAGGTGTTCATTCAGAGCAATCCTATGGCAGGAAGACATCCTGAATGCCTCTTTACCTGACAGTGTCAAAGCATGGATTTTTCAAGTGCTCCCTCCCTTCTAAAATTAATTCCTTCCTCTTAGCCACTATATTTACCAAGCAATAATGTATAGAATTGATGCTTACAAAACAGCATCTGGTGTCCCGATTTCACAGTACTGTTTACTTTTCATCTTATAGGACTGTATTATGTTTCCCGATCTGCTTGAGGCTGGCCTGCTTTTCTATCACCACAAGTTGTAAACTCTGTAGGACATAAATTTATGTGTTTATGAAACTCCAAATCACTCCTGCAATCCAAATAATGAATGAACACTTCCACCTGAGACAGTAAATTATAATCTGTTTCCTGGGGGCAATTGTGTCCCAGGAATATGTCTGCTCATTACGTGAAAAGCTCTAAGCCAGTAAACTACTTGGGGTCCCTCATCAGTGCTTCCAGAACATGCTTGCTCAAGTTTTCTGAAGTGAGAGAATACTGTTCAGCCAATAACCACAGAAAATCCAGCAAAAATTCCAGCAAAAATTCCAGCAAAAGCTATTCTATTCATGGAGGGAGAGGCTGAGTACAAACCATGCAGAAAATTCAAACCATTGGGATTTTCAGAGGAAACTCCCAGGACAGCCCACACAATGGGAGGGGATCAATAGAAATGACTCCTTCTCATCACAAGGCGGCCTATTTAATCAAGCCTCTGTTTTTAGCATGAAGCTCTGCAGACCCTCTATACCCTACTATGCCACCTTCTCCAACTTTTCCCTTATTGGGGCTAGAGAAAAGACAAGTCAATGGAGAATCACAAAGATCAAAATTCCATCTATAAACTCCTGCTACTTCTCTCTGGATGCTAAATCCAAACATTTCAATAGAAAGAAAGCACTTCAAATTTGATTTATGTGCAAGTCACAACACATGAACCTCAAATCACTAAGGAACCTCCACAATCATCTCTGGCCATGGGCTAGGCTGCTTTCAACATTGTGCACTTAGGTGCAAAAGGGCACTTGTTTTGCATTGGGAACTTTCCAGTACTGCAAAATCCAACGGATAATCATATTTTCAGAAAGACAAGAAGCTTCAAGCAAGCTCAAGGGTAGCAGTAACAAACGTGTCTTCACTGTGACAAGCTATGCCCATCTCTCATAAACCCAGAAAACAAATGCATTAGTAAAGGGAATGAGCAATAAAGAGAGGGGAGAAGTAAAACATTTATGAAAGTAAAACTACTTCCTGTTTGTTCCAGAAATATTGAACACTCATGGGAAAAAGTAGGTTTTAAGGTCAAAAAAGGGCAACTGTTTTTAAAAAGCATGTTTATTTAGTGTGGCTCTGCTACTTTCCAGCATCATCACTCCAGGAAGATTTTCATCCAGAAGTCTCAGAGCATTTTCCAATTATTAAATTTAACATCCCATTGACAAGGTAGTGTAAGGTAGTATTTTCATACCCAGTTTATTGATGGAGAGATTCAGTATCCAAAAACTAAATGGCAAGGAAGAAATCTTGGGAAAAGAAACTCAGGACAGTTGCTTCCTACCTACCCATTCAGCTAACAGCTATTCAATTTTTTTTTATTTCCTTCTCTGCCAGTAGCTTCTATGGGCCATTTTCATTCCTAAGCAGCTCTAGAAAGTGGGAAATGGCAGACTGCCTTACCTGGAGTGTAAAGTTTACAGCTTAAGAACCTATGAAGGTCCACAGACATCTTTGTAATGAATTCTGTTTCTGTAATGAATTCAGTCTTTCCTGGAAGATGGCTAGTCTCTAAAGGGAGACAGTAATGAAGTCAGGAAAATATATTTCCAAAACATTTATTGAATCCTCAGAGATAAAAGTGTCCAAAAATCTAAAAGATGGTTCAGTTAACCTAGACAAATAGTTCAACACTATCTAATAGGTCTGACCTGAGGGATAAATGCAGTATCACTTCCAGTTATCCTACATCTAGCTCCTTTGGAAATACACAGAATAGCCCATCCTTTTCTGAATTTTGATGCACTTTTGTCCTCAATGCCTTCCTACCAGAGTGAATTCAGCAATTGAACTATGGTTTGAAAGAGGTAGTATTTCACTTTATTTATGGTCTCTCCCTTTGTTCTTGCTATAAGATAGGGAAAATAGAAGTTCCTGGCCAAACTTTTTTTTCTGTCCACTTCACAGAATCACAGAAACACCAAGGTTGGAAAGGATCTACAAGATCATCCAGTCCAACCATCCACCTATCACCAATAGTTCTCACTAAATCATGTCCCTCAACACAGCATCCAAAACATCCACTTCTTTCCTTTCAAAGACAGTCACAATCTTTTCTATTACCCTGTCGTGAGAGTTTTTCTGTGACTCTGTCATGTCAGAACTTTCTGAACTTCCTCTCATTCTTCAAAAATCCCATCAAGATGAACCAGTATCACACCTAACATATTCAGATGAAGCTACATCCTCTACTTGAACAAATGGATTGAACTGTTCTTTACAGTGTCCACAGCATTCTCTCCCAGGCAGTGCCCGCTGCCTCAACAGTGCAGGGCTCCATGATAGGCAGAATTAACAATCTTGTAACAGGGACAAGAACTTCCAGCAGATGAGACTTCAAACGCAAATGAAAATGTCCAACCCCTGCCCATTCTCAAAGGACATTCAGATCCCCACTAAGAGGCCCTCACACAGGATGCCTCCCCTGGCCACAATTGATCCAGATAACTTTGCACTACGTGCAAATTTTTGTATCTAAATGCTCAATCTCTCTCTCTCCAAGTGTTTCATTTCTACATTTCACAACACTGGAACAAACACCAAACCTTGATGCACCGACTGTTAGCTTTTTTCTTTTTTGTGTGTGAAATTCTTTGTTTCATATTTTATTCTAAAAGTTTTGATCTGAGACAATGCACTGTTTATTTTTGAAGAAGACCAAAGGTCTTCAGAAAGTCCAAGTAAATTGTCAACCTCCTTATCCCCTAATCCTTTACATATCATGTGGAGAATTTTAAGAGTGGTGAGATATGATTTTCCTTTGGGAGAAAAAAAAGTCAGTCAGAACCTCCTATATCATCATTTCCCAGGTGCCTCACTGCTTACACCTAATTACTGTTTCAATCAATTTCTCCAGTGTTCATGTAGAATTTATGGCTCTTTAAATTCTTGAATCACATCCAAATCCTGTTTAAATACAGGTAATAACATTTGCTACTTACTAATTGTTCTAAATTCTTTCTGTTGTAACTCCTAGTTTTTATCACAAGCTCTTCTTCAGACATAGCAATTTCATAGAACAAGTAATAACTACTAGTAAAAGCCATATAACTAAAAGCTTACTCTTTTTTAATATAACAATTTTAAGACAGTTTGTAGTTAAGTTACCTTTTGATTAGTATTGCAAATACAATAGCATCTGCTTAGTAGGAGATGCACGGAATAGCACACATTGAAAGCCAGAACTAAGCAAAATAGAAGAGTAAATCAAAATTCATCAATGAAAACAAAAATGTCATTTAAAACTTCTTCCTGTTTAAATAAACCATTGGTGTCACAGCTAAATGTGCATATAGCACAATGCAAATACGCATGTCTACCGATAATTAAAATGTATGTTTCTTAACTTGGCAGAGTCCTTTCCATGGTGATTAAATTAACATGGTCATTTTTGCTTACCAGCCCAGTGCAACAACCTCTCTATTTATCAAGATCAATAGTCTGCAATGGTAGAATCTGAGCAAGCACCCATGCCAGCACCATTCCAATATCTGTTTTCTATGGAGATGCCATGTCCAAAAGAATCACATTTCCACAAATCCTACAAAATGGTGGGCTTTTTCAAGTTCCGATTCACCAAAATAGCAGTACATGACTGTCCTTACACGTATTACATTTGGTTTAAGATGCATTAGAGGTAAGCAACTTCTCAGTGTCTCTTTGAAAAATAAATTAAAAACAATCATTCCTTTTTCTATACAGCATAATGTATTTGTTTTACAATGGATCATTTCCATCTCCACAGTAGCAGCTGCCACCCAAGCCATCATCTCTGTGCACTCCT